TGACCCTGACAACGTCTCCAAAATGTCTCAAACTCTGCTGAGAGTAAATACTCAACACTCTGATACATCAGTATATGCTGTAGTATATACTGTATATCCATAGAATCAAAACATCCACTGGTGTCAAACATCACATTTAACTGTGTACCGTTAAATACTGTTAAAATTACCAACAGAAAGTATTTATTGCAGTTCCATTACTGCCACCTGCTGGATCTGATGATTACACGTACATTTTTTTTTCTAAATCAACCATTGTTCATTGACAGACGGTGTGTAATTGCCCCCTCAGAGGTACTGCAGTTGACTGTACCATTCTAATAACATTTCATCACATGTTATTTATTACATATACACATTTTATTCTACAAATGGGGATAAATTGGAATGCACAGTAAAATGACTCTAATCTCTGTTCTGTTCTGTTTGTGTGTCAACACCAGAACAACTGTTTAGCTGCTGTGACGTCAGCCAGGGTAGAACAACATGGAGCTGCCAAAACGATGTTTTATACTCGTTTTATACTGTGACACCACCAGCAAACAGGCTTTCCACCTGTTTTCAAATAAATGTCTCCATCTAGTGGAGAGAATCAGGACTGCAGGAATGACAACCTTATAAAGTTGTTCATCACACAGTGGCTGAGTTGTCAGCGATGTTTTTGTTTGTTTCAACTTTACCATAACGCAGTGTTTACGATTCAACAGATCTTTGTTTAAAACATCGTTGTTTACGAAAATAGATGAATTGAACAAAAGAAACGTCAATAGTTAAACTGTGTAGAACTGAAGACTGAAGCCTCTTGGATGAGAGGTGAAAACATGAAGTTTTCTGGTGCTCTTCAGAAACCTTAATTTCTGTCCATTCAGGGGCTACGTCATTTCCTACTGTGGTGTATGTACATATAAAAGTACTGTTCGTACTATTAAGCACTAACTAGTAAGTACTGTCCGTGAGGACGGTTGATAAGGAACTAGATTACGGGAGGGGCTAACCAGTTATCCGGCCTTATTTAGACGGAGCAACTTATTATTCAATAACGTCTATAAACCGGATGTCAACAGGTGTTTCCGGCGCTTGTTTTTAGGGGAGGTTTTTTTTGTGTGTTTTAATTTTAGAATCACTTCTGAAAAATAAGGGACGACTTTTCTGAAACAATAAATATTTACAGACGTAAGAAGCCGTTGTCAACGTCGAGTGTGTGGTGAAATAAGTAGCTTTTTAAACTTTAATCAACGATGGGAATCCTAGTTTTTATCAAGTGCGCTGTAATGAAGCATCTTACTATTAGACGATCTTTGTTGACGTACGTAGTGACGTCAGAGGAGAGAGCGTCCCTCGGAGTGAGCGAACGGCGCTTGGCAGTTGCTGTGTTGTACCTGAGCGACCGTGTCAGCGTCACTAGTTCACTGTCACCAACGTAAGTGTGGACTTCATTTGTCAACTTGTCGTTTTGGTTTTTGGTTTTTGGTGGTTTTGTTGTGCGGTGGACGGCGTTGATATGACGCCGGAGAAGCAGTGAGGGAGTCGGTGTAGATATTGGTCCGTATTAGCAGAACAGTACGATGACAGTAACGGGACTGTCAACCTGTGTCCGTTAACACACACACACACACACACACTGTTTAAATGTCGCACCACATCCAACATGTTCTGTCACTTAGTCTGTTGTTACAAGAGAAACTTCAAAGTTTTTTTTTATCCGTAAACAGTGTTTGAAGTGCTGTCGTAAAGTACCGCCATATACATGTAAACAGGAGTTTAAAAGTCATTCAGTCTTTATTAACTGACAAACGTCTTTTAAATGGAAAATGATTGTTCACATCTAGTATCAATGATAATGTTGTAACGTTTTCAGCTCAGGCCAAAAAGACTTTATAAAAATATATATTTAAACGAGGTTATTTCTTATTTTTTTATTATTTCTTATATCCACACAAACCGAACACTGTTATTCAGAAATGATAAAACGGAATAAATCAATAATTGTGATTTATTTCTGAGGAACGAGAGTTTTCCATTCATTCAATTCCAGAAAGTTCCACACAGTAAAGACACAACAACATACTACTAGTAAAAAAGAAAAGAAAATATATAAATACTAGAAGCTGAATAACTGCTGGGATGAAGTAAATGGTAAAGTCCAGTTTTAAATACTGGACACGTCATGGAGTAAAATATCTGAGTGTCCAGAAGCAGGAACCTGTTGACAGGAACTAAGGCGGTGACTGAATATACTGAGACTAACAGTGTTGTGTGAAAGTGTAGTCTGGTGTGAACGTTTACTAGGAGTTTCATTGACAAAAAACCCTGGGTCCCAGACCCCTGGGTGGACCATGTGGGGGCTCACTGGGCGGCGCCCCCCTCCCCCATTGGTCAAAGCCGGGTCCATCAGGCCGCCTGTGGCCGACTGTAGTTATGGTGGTTGTTGAACTGTAGTAAACACAGATCAGTGTCGGCTCCTGGACATCAGTGAATAATTCAGGAGGAGCTGCTGCTGTGGTGTTGTTTAAACAAGGTTGTCTCAGTGACATCACCGTGACATCACTGAGAGCACAGTAAATGTCTTTAACGTACAGTATGACCCCAGCAGACCCTGTAGGGGGCGCACCTCGGTGTGTGTAACGCAGTATTTGGACTGGAATGTTCTGCAGTGTCTTGTTACGTAAAATTTAAAGTAAATTGTAACTTTTCTACTGTGCCGTAGACGAACTGATCAAACTGAAGAACCTGAACATTGTTATACTAGTACTCTGAACCAGAGTACACGACTGGTACTGGACCAGGACGGGGGCGTGGCCTCATTTTCTACCAGAATGGAAACAAAATATTATTAATTACACTTAATTTTATCTATGATAATTAGTGAAAAAAGTGGGGGGTTTATTTTAAGAAAATGATTTTTCCCATGAAAAGTAAAAGAGTATTTTCAAAATAAAAGCCTTCGTAAAGAGCTCCTTAAAAGGAGGAAGGAAAATGGAATTGCACCAGAGGAACCACACACTCGGCGTCTCCAACCTGTTGCAGCAGATCTGATCTTTACACAACGATCTCCAACTGTGTGTGATCAGTAAAGTTCAGATTATTATTTGTTTCTTTACACAACGATCTCCAACTGTGTGCGATCAGTAAAGTTCAGATTATTATTCGTTGTTAATTAGTACTGAAAAGGTCAAGGGTCAAGTGTAAAACTTTAAACTGAAAAGAAAACTAAAGTCTGTGTTTCAGGAAGTCCTGCCACAGAAGTCAGGGTGGGGGGGAGTGGGGGGAGGGGGTCTTATCTGTCTTTTTTAGAGAGTGCTGAGGTCATCTATCTGAGCGATACAACTGTGACAACCCCCCCCACACACACACACACACACACAGCCAGTCACACTCACACAAACAAATACAATAACGATTGTTCCTGTTTCCGGCCCTGGTGCTCATTGTGCAGCAGCTGAATGAGATGTTGTGTTTTTTTCTGCTTGGAAAGTGCACACACACACAAAAACACACACACACACACTTTTATAAATGTATCCACACACACACAAAAAACACACTTTTATAAATGTATCTAAACACACACGTTTAGTTAAATACAAATGAGATATGAGATATTTTTTGGGGCACACACACTCACACACACACATTAGTGCGTTCACACACACTTTCTGGCCTGGTTCCAACAGTTATTGATGTGCGTCTGTCAGTGTCCAAACCCCAGTGATGGTTCTGTGTGAGGCTGTGAAGGAACAAAGAACCGTTTGTTCTGGGACTGGAACTGGATTAACATAAAACAACAACATGGCTGTTCTCAGATTGACCTGCACCTGTCAACGTGGACATGGACCAGTACTGACCACTACAGTACAGTACTGACCACTACAGTACTGACCAGTACAGTACTGACCAGTACTGACCAGTACAGACCAGTACAGCGTTTTTCCGACCTCATCCACAGTAACTAGATTATAAAGCCAGTTGTGGATTGGTCTCAGATTAAAGGAGACTGACCAGTACAGACCAGTACAGCATTTTTTCCGACCTCATCCACAGTAACTAGATTATAAAGCCAGTTGTGGATCGTTGTTGTTCTGTTGTTCTGTTCTGTTGTTCTGTTGTTCTGTTGTTCTGTTGTTCTGTTGTTCTGTTGTCTGTTGTTCTGTTGCCAACGTCAGCAGTCAAACTGTGAGATTAAATCATCTTTTTGATAATCCACGTTATAATCCGATTCCATTTTGACTGATTTCATGTCAGTGTTACAACGACTGTTGTCCAGGTGATGGACAGCGTCAGTGTTGACAGTCAGAGGTCCACTACACCCGGACCAGGACTGACTGTCCCTGGAACCGGATTTATTCTGAGTCCAGAAAAGAAGTGGGATTAAACAGAGGATTTACTGCACAGGGAGATTAGTTCAGTATTCCACTGAAATCAAGGCCTTCAAGGTCAAGCACTGCAGGGGGCGCTGTGATGAGAAGGAGCCATGTCTTGGGGAGACGTTGAAGGATGAAGACATCAATGGATCAGTTCATTCAGTCTTTAAAAACTGCTGACGTTCAGACTTTAGTCAAGACGACGAGGCTGAAGTTTTTATTCACCTTGTTTTACTTCCAGGTAAACCATCGGAGTGAGTGACACCAGGCTGAAACACAGTCCAACCCATGGTACGTACTGTTTCTGGCCCCCCGCCCCACACATTGATTCCACCGTCAGTCATTTTAAACGTCTTCTCCGTTCTGTCAAAAGGCGGCGCCGCCTCTTCTACCCTGGATGCTGCCCCGGAGTCTTGCCCCCCTGACTCTGACCCCCCCCCTGCGTTCCGTCCTGTGGTTCTCTCAGCCGCGGCTGTAGACGTGATGAGGCGTGGGACCAGCCTGCAGAGCCGCCGCAGTACGGCCTCGGGATCCGTGAGCGCAGAGCGTGATCCTCTCCTGAGAGCCAGTCCCCCGGCCCCACGCCGCCGCAACACCGCGGATCCTCAGCAGCTCAGCAGCCGCCCACGCTCCTCTTCCACCAATGACAGCGCACCTGGCCCCGCCCCGGTCACCACGGGGACTGAGGCGGTTCTGTCGTCAGGGTACCAGTCCACGGAGGAGGCCGACAGGGTGAGTGGGGCGAGGGGTGACTCCACGCTCAGCAGTAGGAATTACTGCACAAATATTCAAATCAAGGGAAGAGAAGTGAGTGATCTGGTAGCGACACCTTGTGGTCATCCGTTAGTGGTAAAATGAACAGTAATGATCATCTGAGTTTGTTATTGTTTGGTCTCAACATATTTCATATTTGTTTAATATATTTATGTTGATGTTAAACTGTGATAAAAAAGTAACTAACTAGTAATCTAACTAATGACTGTTTCCATGGTTACAACACCGTTAACGACAATTAAATTATATATAAATTATTATAAACTACTTCTCTCCTCTCTCACACACACACACACACACACACACACAGCTGGTGGTGATGAAGATGAAATGTTCAGATTAACAGACAACAACTGCCCCCCCCCCTCAGTCTAAATCTCTGTTTCTCAACAGGAGACAGTAGGTCAAGCATGTAGTTGTCATGGTAACGACCACAACGTTCTCCCTAGAACAGTATGATCACGTGTTGCCGTGGTAACGACACAGGGTTTGACCTTGGACGTGTGTAACCTCCTGTTATTTGTGTTTTCTTTCCTTCAACCTTCAGTCACACACTCTCTGACTCTCCCTCCTCACCCCTGCTCCTCCCCCCTCTCCCCCTCTCTCCCTTCCTTCCTTCCTTCCTTCC